CCAATCACTCAGCTAGTTCCATTTGTTTCAAGGGAGATCTCCGCCATACGCTTCTATCACAAAACGTTTATGTGAATTCGAGTAAACGATTCCACGGATTTATTTTTGCAGGTGCAGAATCAGACAGATTTACAAAAGCTATTGAACCGGGAACATTTTTTTGGTTTGCATTCCAGAAAACTACCGGATAAGCGAGCACACGGGTTGATGCGACTGTAACTAAACTCAAATTATCAGAATGTCCAGACTCAATACTGTTCCAGTTTGTACACTTACTCGACAGATTCGCTGCACAGCAATATCGGACAAACCAATCGGCTCGGTAGAGGACGATTTTCGGTGCAAACGTTCCTGTTGAGAAAGTGACGTGCGTAGGGTTGCAAACAGATAGGTATTCAGAGCCAGTTCACAGGCGGATATTGGTGTGGTGGCCGAATCGTTGTCACGATCCTGTTCTGCTCGCGTCTTGGAGTGAGCTACATGCGCAAAGCACAGTATGCAAGCAGAACATACGTGCAGTTCGCGCAGAACAAACGGCCAGTTCAGATTGATCAACGAATGATTGTACAAAGGCGCGGTACATGAGCGAAGCATATCTGCACGAAGCAGATGATCGAATGCGGCAAAAATGGGAGGATATGTGAAACAATTAGTTGTGCGTCTTTGTGGAGTAAGTTTTGCCAACTATTATCGCCATTATTATTTATACCATTAATTCAATACAGTAAAACATTACGAAGATTACTGCACCATTTAGTGGTAGGCAGCTCTGCTGTCGTCCGGGTCAATACCACGCCTAACCTATCGGGACCTTATGTGGTTCGCCACTCCAAGTCCCGGGGCTTAGGTTGTCGAGTTCCATCACCGAACAGCAGGTCCTCGTGACTATGGGGTTCGCCCCGTCTGTTTTTCATCACACTCAGGTGTGTAATAATAATAACAAATGTGGAATGGGAAAACGTATATCTGAAACAATTGGTTCATTCCGTGCTCGAAGACAGGAAGTGGGGGGAAGACCGGAGAGGTAGAACGGCGGTTTTGAATCTCCGTGGTTAGTGGAACGAAAGAAAATCTGAATAGCATCGTAACCTTTGGGTGTGGAGGATTAAAATGAGAGCAAAGAGGGAGAGGAATGCGATCTCATGATGATGATAAGACCCACCATTAATAATGGCTCTTCAAAATGTCAACCGATCAGCACGCGCCCTTCGATTGGCTGCGCTACACTTGCACGCTCTCCGTCACATTGTGGGAATTTTCACCTTTTCACCTATCATGCGCCGTCGTTACTCACGGGATGATATTATTTGTTTCAAACGTGACAGGACATGCTTCGATGGTTCAGCGGTTTGTGCGACTCCATTTTCTTACTGCCCAGGCTGGACCAAAAAACGCAAGCGTGCAGGATGGCAAGTTGCCCTTAATTGCACCCCTCTGTCAAAGATGACTGTCCCCTCATTGGTCAGCACCAACACTCGGTCCGTGTTTCCCAAAATGTTGGATTTAACTAGTGTCCTCCGATCAAGAATTCATAAGAACACGTGTGCAGTCTGTGTTCA